ACATACATACATACATACATACATACATACATACATACATACATACATACAATGTCAGGTTGTGATCTGTCCTGGGGAGGGAATGCTGCTATTTCATATCACATGGTCAGTGAAGGCCTCCCTGACTTTAGTGACATGTGAGCAGAGATCTAAAGGAAGTGTGAGAGTGAGCTGTGTTGTCCACTGGAGGAAGAACATTGTTAGAAACAGGAAGCAGCAGCAGCAGCAGCAGCAGCGAATGTCTCTTCCAGGAATGTCAAAGAGGCCAGTGTGGCTGGAGGCAGAGAATTGTGAGCCATTGGTAGGACTTTGGCTTTTACTCTGAGTGAGCTGGGAAGCTGTAAGAGGGTTTTGAGGAGAGTAATGGCCTGACCTGACCTAGGTTTTTAAAGGATAACTGGGTAGAAGCAGGGAGACCATGGAACATGTTGCAGTGAAGGAGCTAGAAATTTCACAGGAATTCTAGAGACAGCCGTATAGCTGTGCTTTGTGGAGGCCGATATGGAAGGTCACTTGACATCCCAAGGTAGTCCTAGAGCCTGATTATTTTTGTCGTGAGTCTTCAACTCAGCAGCAGAAATTCATGGTGCCTGTCCCTGATTTGTTCATTGTGAACATGGATTCTATATGAGTCTGCTTCTTTTCTTGATATTAACTGCCTGGCCTTTGCTGTATTCCTCATTTAGAATTCTTAATGGGGAGATGCTGGTCCCCATTTGTTTCTGCTCTGGCAAAGCTTTTCATGCCAGACCACCTCAGCCTACAGGCCCACCTACGTGCTGGCCACACCTCTGGTCAGGTGACCGTCCCTAATCGAGTCAGTCGTGTCCTTGGGAAGGGAAAGGGAGGCAAGGTGATGTCCAGAATTTGTCCATCTCAGAAAGTGTCTCTGGAGAGTGTTGCCCTAAGAAAAGGAGGAGGGGCTTCCCTGGTGGCGCAGTGGTTGAGAGTCCGCCTGCCGATGCAGGGGACACGGGTCGTGCCCCAGTCTGGGAAGATCCCACATGCCGCAGAGTGGCTGGGCCCGAGAGCCATGGCCGCTGAGCCTGCGCTCCGCGACTGGAGAGGCCACAACAGTGAGAGGCCTGCGTACCGCAAAAAAAAAAAAAAAAAAGAAAAGGAGGAAATCAATGTAAGAATAAACCCAAGGAAGAGAATAATTTGTATAATAATAAGTAAATTATACAGAAAACAAAGAAAAAACAGCGTGTAGAGGGAAAAATCACCTTGAATGCATCATGTCTTATTTGTTATATAACAGTAAAAGAATCCTTGAAATTGAACAGTAATCATTTAATATTATTCTTCCTTATGTAGAACTATCATTAATGAAATTAAATTTTGTTAGCCTTGTTCTCTTTATAAAGAAAATTTTTCTGGATACTAATATGAGAGAGAGCACGTTATATGATAGAGTACCACTAGAATGCCAGTCATGATATCTGATTTCCAGGCCTTGATTTCTCACTCTCTATGACCTTAGTCCAATCAGTGCACTCTTTGGGCCTCAGTTTTTCCATATGTAAATGAGATTGGAGCCTTCCAGCTCTAAACTTCTATGTTCTGTGTTCTCTTTTGCTTAGTTCCAATCCTCTTACTTTTGCTATAGGAACTAGATTATTAAGAAATTATTTTGAAGAGAAAAATGTTCCTCTATTAAGACTAAAAGATTTCCTAGCATTCTGTTATTTTCTTGCATTTGTAAATATATTTAACCAACTCTGGACAGGTATTTAGTTTTATTTTATTTTTTTTAAAGGTATTTAGTTTCCTTTAAAATATTGAAGGAAGCAGTTTCTGTGTCTCTGTTACATAACTATTTTCCAAAGCTGATATTCATTGGAATCTGGGCATTTGCCCTCTTCATGGCTGGTTTGCTTCTGTACCAGTTTTAACTGATTTCCTTTTGTTCAGCCCCTAGTAAAATAATAAATATATAGACACTCATACACGCACTGATAGCTTTACTAAACATTTTCAAAGCACAGTCATTTCAGAATATTAAACAGAGTCATGATTTTCAAATTCATACAGTATTTAATCACTTAGATGATAAAGGCTCTAAGAAAGTAATTTCTTTATATTATTTTTCTGCTAATGGCAAATATTTAAAAATTCCTTTTATAAGCCATCATTAACTGGCCATATCCCAAATCACTCCATTACTATACATTCCTTCAACATTTATTTTGTACTGTACACATTCACCTGCACCTGCTTATGCTGTGTAATAATTTCATGCATGTATGTCTGCTTTTCTCATTTCTATTTTAGACTCCTCTAGGGAAGGGAACCTCTTGCCCTCTTATTTGTTTCATGATGGCAGTTACGGTGTAATTTATATACAATAATGTGTGATTTGATGTAGATGTTGACCCACCATCAGTAAAAACCTATGCTTCTCCAGCCATGAGAATGAATTTGCATTAATCTGGCTCTATTTTGTGGCCATGCATTTTAAGATGTAATCGGAGAAAAAGAATGAAGCAAACTTCCTCCATACAAGAGTGAAACCTGTTGGTTTGATTTGAACCATATTCATCAGCTACAGACAACGTAGCATGCTTTCCACGATGGTCTTTTTATGGTTGCATGGTGAGTTAATGAAACTGAATGTTTACAACTCTATTTAACACCCTAAAAATCCATGAGTTTTGACTATAAAATAAATCCCAATCTGCCAC